TTTTTCGAACTGTTTCTGAACTTGAACTTTTATGAAACAGGACCGAACAGGACCGAACCGAACTTTTAACATCCCTATGGTAAACCCATTTAAAGTAGGTGATTGACATAGCCGTTTATTCGTTACTGCGCCACATCGATCACCTGCTTTAACGAGCTTCCGGCACCGCCTTCCTACTGCTCACAACATAAATAATTATACATTAATGCATATATAAACGACTCTATTGCTTTGTATGTTTCTTATATACGATGTTTAATAGCCACTCGCAAAATATTTTTATTCATCAACGCGTCCCAGTCCTTCCAAAGTCTTAATCTTCACTGAAAATTCAAACTTTCATCAGAGGTTTTGCCTTGCTTTCACTGGGTTTAGGTTTCGTCTTTCGCCACTTGGCTGTTACTTTAGTTGCTCATCTTGATCATAAATTAGTTGTCTGAATTATTTACAATATATTGGTTTACCTTGCTGCTTAAAAGATAAAATTAAATTTTTTAAAAAAAGAAATAAAATAGCATAAAATAAATAACTCACTCAGAAGCTTTCAAAAAATTCGATAGTGTACATGATATCAGTTGAATCTATTTGTTCTGACTAATCTGTACACATTTTTATCATTAAGTTTAATACTTAAGCATTGACCGACAATATCTGTTTTAGATGAAATCTTCAAAAATTATTTATTGAGAACTTTCTGCATTAATTCTTTGAAAAATATGTGTTGCAAGAGTCCTTCTAGGGATCATTAATAGTAGCAACATTTAACGTAATATTACGTTCAAATTCCATTCTATATTATTAAAAGAACGAAGTTATAAAATTTTTTATTAACTGTGCAAATAAGTACTACGCATGTGTTTTTTATCATTAAAACAACACATACGTCATAGTAGAAAATCTACCTCAAAAAGAGAACATTCTAATTTCCCATAATTAGCCAATCAGATTATATAATTAATCAACCGAATTCATAATACAGACTAACGAAACTTATATACTATTTTTTATTAATTATCCTTTTGTTAATTATATTTAATTACATAATTGAATAGAAATCATATTACAATCATTTCTGCCTTTGTTAGAGACGCTACTAACTTTAAAATATATTATCAATTAGGCAATATCCTACTTAATAAATTTTTCTAGTTGTTACTCGCATTTGTACCCGTCAAAGAAAAAACTTTTAAGAAATTTCACTATTTATTGATATAAAATCTTAAATAATCTTATTTTTTAGTTATTACAGCCGTTGCACTACTATTTTTTATCTATACACGTTTCTATCTATACTATTATAAAGCTATATTAAATCTACTAAATACTAAAGTAATATAATTAAGTACTAGAGTTATTAAATGAAGTAGTTTAAACTTAAATACAATAAATCAACAGGTTTAACAGTTTTTTTTTCAAATATTGGTTACCTGATACAACAGCTTTTTGTCTCGAATCGACGGAGTGTAATTAGTTAATTGAGTAATGGTATCGTGATTGGTTGCATGATTTGTATAGCAAGATTCAAAGGAATAATGACATGGTTTTTTGATTGATGAGCGATGGAGTCTATCGTAAGGATTACATATTTGTTGGAGTATATTCGATTTATAAGCATTGATGGTATTTGATCTGGTGATCGTAGAGTTTGTTATAGTAATGATGTAATTACATAGTTTTTTTGATTAGTTTTTGATTAGTAATTGCTAGGACATATTTATGGGGGGATAAGATTTTTTTCAGACAAAATAATCTCTGTTTTTTCTGCTTACCCAACTTTGTCTGATTTTTTCGTCTTGCTCTTTCCCACCCTAAAGGAGGACCAAACAAGTGTTGTTGGTAAACTTGTTAGTAAGTTGTGTGTGAATTCTGTTCTTGGTGTGAATTTGGCTTGTCAGATGACAGTCAATTCAAGTTGGTAGCCTGTCAGACAACAGTCACGTTATTGGCCATTTGTTTTTGTGTTCACAGGGGGTTCAGGCTCAGATTCGCAACAGTCAAATCTAGCAAAAGTGACATGTCAAGAAGAATAGTCATGGAAAAAATTACATGTGGGTAAACATTACGTTCGGATAAGTTGGTTTGAGCATAACCTGGAAAAGAAAAAGAAAGCAACTGTGAAAGACAGTGAATGTGCCTATAGCTAAGGGTTTGTCTATTTATGTGTTGTTGGCATTTTTAATTGTTATTTGCATATTTTATTTGCAAATTTATGAGTTTTTTTTTTTGGTATGTTGATTGCACTTTAATTTGCACTATTATTTGCACTTTATTTGCGCTTTTATTTGCACTTTACAATACTCTAAAATTCTGTTTTGAACTAGAAGATTGCACAAAGTGGCAAAAACAGATAACCTATAATTATATTTATTGTTAAACATTTCCTTGATGAGAAACAAATTAAATTTTTCTTAAACACATTAATTGGTTTTGACTATGTTTTTGTATTTATTATTTGTATATAGTTTTTTTTTTTTTTTGTTAAAGGTTATACTTTGTGGTAATATTTTATTGACTTTTATTAGGTTAGTTATTATAATTATTTTTACAGAGATGAGAGTACAATTAGTCACATATGCAACTTTTGATTGTTTATTTAAGTAGTCTGTCTTAAGATTCTACATTAGATGTTATACCTATAACTTACTAGAAGATTATTCATTTAAACCCTCTGATTATCTGTCTTGTTATAATGTAATCTTAACTAACTCTTCATATACTGTATACATAACTGATATACTGTTTGAACAGTATAGTATCTATTTTTTTTGTATTGGTTCTTAGACTATTATATATTTTAGAGTATATCACTTGCTAATAAGGTGCAGAAGGTTTTTATTGTTAACTATCTGTCTACTTTTAGAATACTAACAAGGGTTACCTTTACAGAGTTCATCCAAACCTCAGTATTGATTTCACAGCATATCTTTAGTATTTTTAATATATCCTTGTTTTGATTTTAGATTCTCAATTCAGATAGTTCAGAAAGATTGTGACTTGTCTTTGGTATATTGAGACTGGTCTAATATCTTTTTTCTCTAATCTGAAATCTAATAGTCTGATTGGTAATACCCCTTACCTAAGATTCTTATCTGTCTAATTTCTTTATATTAGTATTCATTTCCTAGATTTAGCCTTTACAGTAATATCATTAAAGATCTGTATTACCTCTCTACTTAAAATTTTTAAGTGAGTTTTAGTTTTCAGTTCTATAGATTTACATAGTCTAAGAACTATTTTAGGTTTGCACTGTCTAGTACCAGTTTGCATTCCTTTGTATAATAAATTACACAGATGTCACAGACTTACCAGTTATGTTAGTATAACCATAATCACAGATATCTTATCTCAACTGATTAACAGAATGTCATTATCATAATACTATCTATATATTACATAGATAATTATTCAAATTTTGTTATCAGTAGGTTTTGAACTCACAATCTATTACTTGGAAAAATGACAACTTATCTACTTTACTAAGTCATTACATCCTTTTGTATATATCTAATATAAATATTAGTAGTAATAAATAATGAAATATTTGCTTCTAAGTAAAGTTCTTAAGAATATTAATTATTTTTTGATTATTTTGTATAATAAATATGTTGTACATCAAAGTTCAATAGTTGTCAATTTTAAATCAACTTATATTAATTTAAAATTTAAAATTGACATACAAATAGAATTTTATATCAAATTAATATTATGTCAATTTAAAGTTAATGATGATAGTTACTGTCATAATAAACTTAGCAAATTTTTTATATAATAATTAATAATTAGTAAATGTATATAAATTAGTTTTTTTTTCTTTAATATTATCATAATAAAAAATAATAGTGAAGATTATTTATTTTTTACATGAAGTGCTTTTAATTCATTTTTAAAAAATTCTATTAAAAGTAGAAATATCTGTTATCAAAAAAAATTATTTATAATATAACAAACATATGATTAAGCTATACATATTATTTTAAATCCTAAAACAAGCTGTGGAACAGCTCAAGATAGGTACTAAATGTGATCAATCTTCATAATAAAAAATATTAAAACTGAAGAAGATCCAAATAATTATCTTTATTCTAAAGATAAACTTGTTGTTATAAAAGAAAAATTTTATGATATTCTTTATAGTATACATAGAACACAACAACATAGTGGTCAATAAAAATTATAAAATGAACTTTAAATCAATATAGTTTTATCTGTTGAGATTTGGTTAAAAAATGTATTACACAATATAAAACTTATAAATTATAATGTAATTTCTTTTAATATATTGTAGTAAAACCAATAATACATACAAAATTTATGATAACAATTGAGATAATTTTTTTTTTTTTTGACAGTCTTGTCAGAACTTTAATACAAAATTTTACTAATTGAAATATTATCTATTTCTAGTAATTCATCTTTACAATTGCAAGCCTAACATAATCCAAATACAGAAATTGCACTTAAATGTGACTTGTTACACCAACCTATTCCTAGATTGGAAAACTTTGTCAGCTTTGTTAAAAACCAAACCAAAATGAACTACTTTCATTCTGTATTATTTTATCAACACCATTCATAAATAACTACCTGTATTCAGTTTCTCTTTCTTTGTTTTTCACTAATCTGATCTTATTCTCTGATACTTCTTTACTTTTAATTTTCTTTGTACTACATTCTTCATTTACTACTGTCTTGTCTCTTTTTCATTTTAATTTCATTGTTATTCTATTTTCTTCCTCCTAGCTGACCACTATTCTACACCTTTGCCACCAAATTTCATCTCTAAACATTTCTTCTACAACCTTAATATATAATCTGATATTCTACTTCACATCTTTATATGAAACTTGTACAGCATACAACTTCTTAAACATACTCTCAACTGCTAAACCACATATGCATGACTCTCTATGTTTAATTTTATCTATTTTTGTTCTACCAACTAATATTCTTTTTAGATTAATTTTTGTAAGCTTGCTTTTGTCTAACTTGTTCAACTTTTTCTATACTAACCAACATGCTAACTTTTTAATATTATTCCAATAACTCTCATATACCTCACAACTGAATAAATGCCTTGATGATTCTTTCTCTGTCTTGCATTCTTTGCATATATTTGAATTATACAAGTCTGATACTCGTTTCTTTAATACCTCAAGTACTGGCAAACTATTAGAGATACACTTAATTCTGAATATGATTTTCTTGCTCTTCTTTAAAGATTTGTACTTGTTTTCTGTTAAAGTTCTGTTTTCCTTCTACAGTTATCTTCAATCATGTTATGCTTTTGCATCTGGTTCTAGTTTCTTTATTGCACTTGAGCAATGCCACTTTGCACCATTCATTATATTCATTAATGTCTTAACAAACTTTCTTGTTGGTATCTCTACTGTTGTTTCTTTTTAAAATAATGTATATCGAAATCTCACATTCTTCTCAAGCTTCAAGTCAGTGATCTTGTCAAGCTGTATAACCTCTTTCACAAGCTTATCAGCTCTTTCATTCCATACTATTCCACTATATGATTTAATTTTAACTAATGATAGTCTAATATTCTTTAACTTGCATATATCTTTAATCTTTGTAACTAATCTAAAGTTCTTATTTTTACTTCATACTCTCACATTATGTAACAGCTCATCTTTTTTTAGACTTGTGATCACTGCTGCACTATCTAATTTAATGACTACTTTACTATTACATGCTATCACTAATACTACCATCTATATTGCAGCTAACTCTGCCTTTGTCAATGATGGCCAATTCACTATTCTAATTTTCTCTTCTATTATAAATCTATTCTCATCTTTACTAACTTGTACCCAGCTTGACTTTATTCTATAATCCTTTTCCTCACTTACTAATGACCCATCTGTATAAAAGATGAAACTGTATGGTTCATTTTTATATTACTCTCCAATTGTTTTAGTAGCAAGATTTCAAGGCTATTATCAAAACCTTGCATCTTTAACAGACTGATCTTATGTGTATGTATGTCTATTTCTTTATCTACAACTCTTTCTTCATTATTGCTTTCTCTTTTTGTATCAGTCTTCTTGTATTCATCTAACTCTTCTAACAAAACTAAAATCTTCTGTTTGTTCTTTTACTAATTCCTGGCAGCACACCTGCTATTTCTTTTTTCTTAATCCAATATTGACAATTACTAGCATTATTTCCATTATCTAAATTGCATTTTACATATTTTACAAACACTGAATAATTTCTATCCTCAATCTATGTTGTATTTCAGTGATTTATGAGTATATCTTTTCTTCTTTTCTTAACTACTCTGCCTATCATTAAATTCATATTCTCCTTGTTTACTAGTACCCATTTATGCCTTCTTTTATCTTGTGATAACTTCTTGCATATTTGCTCAACTGTTCTGTCATCTTAATTGCTTATTATTTTCTGTTCAATTTCTGCAAACCATTTTGCTTTTCATCCTTTTTGTATACTTGTTCTTAAAGCTCTAAACTTCTTCCATGTGATCATTCTTTTACCTTTTTAATTGATTAACTGTTGTATAAAAAATACTCTATACTTCATTAAACTTCTGTATACCACTCTGAATGTTTCCTTCTCTATCAGACTATGTACAGTTTTACCTATACTATGAATCTGCCAAAAACCTTCTTCTCTTTTTACTGTTACTTCTACTTTTTTTGCTTTAAGTATAATTAGACATGCCATGTTATTTTTTCAAATTTGCTTTAAGTTAGTTAAAAAAGTTGCATCTATTTCGTCTGATATCATTCCTGTCAGAGCAAAGCTCTGCTTTATTCATATTCTTGTCATTTTGCCAATCTGATCTAGCTTATTTAGTCTTCTTTGCAATGATACTAACTGATTGTTAAATAGTTATTAATTTAATATTCTACACTTTTCTAAACCTTGGTGTATAATTGTACTATTTTCTGTAGTTGATAACAGCCCTACTTTGTTCTTAATCAATCTAATTATTGGTTGATGTATGCTGGTTAGCTGTCCTTTAGATGCTTTTGTAGTTTGCAATATGTATATTAATTTTGGTACTATATATATATTATTAATGTATATTAACTGACTAATAGTTAACTTCTTGAATCATATACTTCATATAAACTGTTGTATAATTCTTCTTGTCTTTTTAACAACTAAGCTTTTATTCACTTCTATACTTAACCACACCTCTAGTATTCTTGTTAATGCATACTTGTCTTCAACCTATAGTTAAAAATTATTTATCAAAACAGCCTTCTTCTCTCTTTCTGCATCTAAGTTAACTACCAACAGCTTTGACTTGAAACTATTAATTTGAATATCATTGAATTTAAAGAATCTTTGTGAAATCTGAAGGATTTTCTGCATCTTTTTTCTACTCTTTGTTATCCAAGTTGTATCATTAGCATATGCTACTGCAGCTTGCCTTGCCTTTCTAATTTTAACTCTGTTTATTTGCAAGTCCAGCACCTTATATGCTTTGATTTTATATTCTAGTTGCTAATCATCTTGAATTCTTCTTAATAAAGAGTCATAAAAAATCTTTTAGACCAGTAGTGGAATTGTTTCTTCTTGCTTAATCTCATCTCCAGCAACAAATATTCTTGTTAACCCAAACTCTGTTATAATGCTAACTTCTCTTCTACTATATAACTTTATGATAAATCTTACTATTTCGATTGGCAACTTAATTCTTTGTAATGCTAGCTAAAGTAACTTCATTGATACTGAATCATATGCTTTCTTTATGTCTTGCATCAGTAGCCACAACTCTTTATTATTTTCTTTTGCATTTTCTCTTATTATTTTTATAATGTGAATTGCTTTTTCTGTTGAGTTTCCAGATAGACCAGCAAAGTTTAGACTCTTGAGTATCTCTTTTTCTTTTATAATACTAAATATTTTTTTTGCTACCATCTTGATTAAGCATTTTCTAAATATTTCTAATAGTACAATTGGCTTAACATTACAAAGCTTGTAATACCACTCTTCACCCTTTGGGATCAGATATATTTGCACTAGCTTCTACTTGTATAGTATTCTTCCTAGCCTCAAATACATAACTGCAACTTTTCTAAAGACTTCTTGTGTTTTATTACTCACACTTTTGATAAGTCTGTACACAATATTCGACATGCCTGATGCTGTTTTATTTTTTATTTTTTTTATTGCTTCTATCCACTCTTTAATTGTTATTTTTGCCTTTAGCCCTTATACCATTCTACTTTGACTTCTGCAAGTGGCTTATAAAACTCCTCTATTACTTCTTTATCTTTAATTACATCTCTCTGTTTGAACTGCTCACTAAAATGTTCTCTTGTCTACTCTAGTACTGCATTTGGTTCACTGATTAATAAGCATCTATCTTCTTCTTGTTTTAATACTTAATCAATTCTAATTTTGTTGTATAGTTTGTTTAGAATACTAGTAAGCATTTTTTCTACTTCTTCATCAATTCTCTTACATCTTCTATTTACTGCAATATTGATTTCATTTCTTATACACTTACTTGTCTTCTTCTACTTTCTCTGCAACTCTTAATGCCTGTCACTGCTTTTTTGTTAACTGCCAACATTCTTCAAGACCTGCCATTTTGCCTTCTTCTATGTAACCTATTTCTAGGCCATATTCAATATTTATCTTATCTATCTCTATGTTGACTTTTTCTAAATTTAGTTTTATTCCTTCTTTCTTAATTAACTTCTTAGTCTTCTGAAGTACCTTACTAAGTACTACTATTCCTTTATGCAGCATTGTTGCTTTTTTCTTTCTTCCAATATTACTATTTCTTTGAATGATCTTCTTTTTTGGTATGTTTCTATTTGCTGCATCTTTTATTGTATAGAATATTATATCCTATACTTTGTCTATATTGCTGCTATATTCAACTTCTTCAAATATTTTGAGCCTTCTATTCTTCAATAAGTAACTTTCAAGATCTACTTGATAATTTTCTCGGTTTTTTTTGTTGCCTTATCATACAGATAAATTGTTCTTATTAATTCTTTTTTCTTTATTTTTGCTACACTATGTTTTGGATCAAGTATTTGAATATTAACATCACACTAACATTGTTATGGTCACTTGATGTTATAAATTCTGTGTCAGTTATTTTTGCCTGTTTTAATCCTGATTATAGATCTTCTGAAACCCATATTTGGTTAATTCTTGTTTGTATATCTTGTCCTGTTCATATATAACCTCTTAATTCTGAATTGCAAATTCTGTATGTATCACCAAACCTCTGTTTTATCAGCTATTTATGTAGTGGCAGTGATTTGTTATAATTATTTTCACTACTACTTATTTTATCTAATTTGCTGTTTACTATGTGATTGAAGTCATTCATCACTATGAACTGCATGTTGCTTGCTCTCTTCATATAATATTTACTATTCTTTGTTGCAATTTTCTTGATTTTTCTTTGTCACTTGGAGAAATGTATACAACTACTATTGCTATTTCTATCTGCTTAAAGTAGAACTTTGCTTCAATTAAATATTCCTCAAATCTACATATTTCTTTTATATGTTTTTTTCATTTTTGGCTTACTAATATCTCAACACCTGATTCTTTCTTCTTTGTACTTTCACTTTGTGACCAAAAACCTTTGTAGCAATTGTCCTCCAAACTGTATTTCAGTTCTTTATTACTGCTATTTGTTTTTACTAATTCCAGAATATCAACTTCTTCTTCTTTTGCCTACTCAACTATTGTTCTTAGCTTGATCTTGTTATGCTTAATTCTATTTATATTGTGACATGCTATCTTAATGCTTGTTATACCATTTCCACCTTTGCCACATCTACTCACACTAGGCACAAACTTCTCACTAATGCTTTCTGCTTCTACATTTGACAAAGTAGTTGTTTTCTCTTGAAGAACACCTATAGCAACTTTCAGAAGTGATTTGGGAGCAAGCTCTCTAATTATCTTTCTTCAATATTATCTAGTCTTCTTAATATTCTGCTAAGAACTTCTTGTAGCTTATTTTTTAACTCTTTTACATAAACTGCTTTTGTCTATGTATTATCATTATACTTCTAACTAATATACTTATTTCTTCTCTGCTGGTTCTCTTTATTACTCTCTTCTTTCTTTGTAATTTCTTGACTTTTCATATGTTTTGCATACTATAAACTTTTATTTACATCATATTCTTTTACATCTTTGTTCTCTTTTCTTTTGGTTTTAATGTTCTTGAATGCTCTTTTATTGCATCACTCTAGTCTTGTGTTGTAATAGTATGTCTCCTTATTTGTAGCCATTCTTAAGTCCTCTTCTGTTTCAAAGTAAACTGATGCAGTTTTTTGTTAATTTTTATTTCTGTTTACTGAAATATAGACTGCTTTTGCCTTTACTGCTTTTAGTTGTCTTAATAATAGTATCTCTATTGCCATTGTTAGAATATTTTTAATTATTGCCTTATACAAAGCTCTACTTTCTAAAATCTTTCTTACATAGGTATCTGGAGTAACTCTGCATGTTTTACCTTCTTCAAAATGCACTAATTATGCCTTATCAAATATTGCTTTTTGTTCTCATTTCTAAACTCAATAGCAAATGTTGCTGCTTTACTATTACTACAACTTTTCCATTAAATAAACCTAATTCTATCATAAAACTGAAGATATTTTCTTATATATTCTGGTCTTATTTTTACTAGAATGTTCTACATTATATAGACATTATCTTCTAACCTGTTATCTTTATGCATTTTCATTATCTTATCTGAATGACTTTGTTCTTTTGTTTGTTTTTTCTGCATTTGTTCACTGTCTATAGTTACTTCAAGTTTTCTTTTTTTTTTATAATCAATTTCTTCTTTGTTTGTCATATACTTCTCACTTATCTTTATATCACTTGCTGAGTTCTTTTGCTGATTATTTTATTCTATCTTACTTTCTTTCTCTTCTCTATTTTTATTTGTTGGACTCTTCTCTGCTTGCTTTTCTAGCATACCATAATCTATGCATCTACACTCTTGCTCTAGCAAAATTTCTTTATTTATTTTGTTTTCATTTAATTGCTCTACACTATTCTTTTTTGGTTTCTCACTGTCTTTTACTCATATATACTCACAGTAATTATATACTTCAATTAAGTTTCTAAACATACAGACTAATACTACTTCAGTGCCAACTAGTCTGGCTAATTCTTCATCTTTTCTTAAAACTCTTGATTTATGACTATCTAATAATTCTCTTTGTACTCTGTCAGATTTATTAAACATATTATAATAATTTTCTAATTTTTTGCACTAGTCAATTTCTGTAGATACTGGTTGACCTTTTTGTGTCACACTTCTTTGCATAATTTCTATCTCTTTATTGTATGTACTCAACATATGCTTTACTATTTATATCTATGTTTATTTGTTTATCTGCAAGATTGCACATTTGTTTATTTGTTTTGTTATGTTTACTATTTACTTAAACTTGTTTTACACATCATGTGTGTGATCTGCAGTACAGGGTTTCTGTGTTTTTTTTTTTTATCAAAAATTTTTGAAAAAGAGCAAAATTTCCTCTAAATATTAAAAGTGCCTACTATATTCCTATCATTTTGGTCTATTATTTTAACAGACTATATCTAATTTCTTACAAGCTTTAACTTTACTTAATTAACAACTGTGCTTTTACTTGCTGGCTTTTGTGATTTCTATAACAATTGAGATAATTAATAATTTTAATTTTAATTATTATTATAAATTTTTATTAAATTATTATTAATTATATAAATTGATTTAATTTCAATGACAAATAAACCTGGTAATAAATATAGATACATATATTATACAAAAGATCATTTCTCAAAATTCTGTTAGTCATCATCTTTAACTTCTAAATATGCTAAAGAAATTGCAATTATACTTTTTAATATTTTTATAGTATTTGGTTCTTTTATAATCTTATATACTTATAATAATAAAAATTTTACAGCAAGTATTATTAATCAATTAATATCTATATAACAAGGTGTTCAAATTATTAATGGATGCCTATGGCATACAGAGTTTCAAGAATCTATTAAAAAGGCTAATAATAGTCTAGAACATAAGTTATCTAAATGGATGGAAGATAAAAAAAACACAAATTGAACACAAGGACTTCTATTAGCAATATGGGGGTGAGTCAATAGAAACACATCATATTATTTTTAATAAAATTTTTTTAAATATTTAAACAAAAATAACTTAGCAAAAACTTAAACAAATTTGATAATTTTTTTTTTAAATGGATTCTATAAATTTTTAGAATTGTTTTAAAAAAATTTTTATTAAATTTAATTAAGTTATTGTTGAGTTATCTTTGTTTAAAGTTTTAAAAAATTTTACTTAGAAAAATTATAGTGCATTTCTATTAACTTACTCCCATATATGCAATAATACTAAAATATCTTATATTACAAAATATATATCTTATGAATTAGTTTTTGGTTAAAAACATGAATGCATCTTCTTTTATTATTTATATTTTATGAAGCTAATATAATTTATGAAGAAAAATTAGTTAATAGAATAATTTTTAATGCTAATTATAAAATTTACAATAATATGAAATCAAATCTAAACAATAGATCTAAATATAGCATTTTATTTATCCAAAATATTGAACTAAAGCAAACTATTGAATTAGAACAAATTATTGAAACTAATTATAATATTAAAATTAACCAATATATTGAACTCAACAAAATCAATATTCTTGAATCTAATCAAAGCATTAAACTTAACCAAAATATTGAACTCAGCAAAGTATCGAACCTGATCAAAGCATTGAACTTACTTAAAATATTAAAGTTAATTAAAGCATTAAATTTAACCAAAACATTATATTTAATCAAACCATTAGACCTAACTATAATTGAATCCTAACAAAAAATATTATATTCAATCAAAAAAATTAAACTATTATATTAAGTAATAAGTTAAATCAATTTATTGAATTAGATCAAACTATTAAATTAAGCTAAACTATCAAATTAAATTAATAAATTGTAAATCATTTATTTTTTTATATTATTATTTTTAATACTTATTAATTATATATTTAAATTATAAACTAAGCTTTAAACTATTATTAAAACTATTATATACTAAATTAGAACCAAATTGCATATCACAAAATTTATAATATAATAAAAAATAAGAAAAACTTATTACTAACTTTGCATAAGGTTTATCATAATTCAGTAGCTAGATTTATACAAAAGAGTCATCAAAAATGAAAAGACAATTAGAAATATAAAACAAAAAAAAAAACATTAACAGTTTTTTACAAAATAGTATATATGTTATAATCTAGGTTCTACTAATTGATTGATCAAGTACAGATTGCAAAGCTCTTTCATGCAAGATTGTTGAAGTTTTATTAAATAATTTATATCATTTTGGTTGTACTGCAGGAATAATTAACAAGTTTTATTTAGCAAATAAGATAAAATTAATGAGATTCCAAGAGTTTATTGATTTACAAATATTCCTAATATTTTAGTTGATGTTTACAAAGCTGCACTTGCTCAAACAACATCAACTATTGTTAGTATTCATTGTAATTGTCATATAAAATGTAATCAAAATCATTGTAAATATAAGAAAGCTAATATCATCTATAAATCAAATTGTCATCCTAGCAATAATCATTATATAAATTATAATAAATAGCATTTTATATATGCTAAGAGATAGGTTAAATTTGCATATTCTGTTAAGCTTATTAGTATTTGCAAAAAATAGCTTTCTGTAATTATAGCAATTGTATGCATTGTAAAAATTTAAAATTAAATGCAATTTTTTTTACAAATATAATTTTAAGTTGATGCAAATTTAAATTTAATATACTCATTATATTAGTTTTATATTTATATAAACAAATTCTAATTAAGTATTAACATAATATTAACTTTAAATTTTAACTAATATAAGTCAATTTAAAATTGATGACTATTAAACTTTGACATATAACAAATATAAGCATTCTTTTAAAGCTAGAAATGGTCTCATGATAATTTTTTATTAGTAAAACATTACATTCTCAAAAAGTATAAACAAGTTATCTGAGCAATTAATTTATTTATATTAGCCAATCATATGAATATCAGTCTATAAGGCATTAGTTCTGAAAAAGATCAGAATAAATAAAAACTATAAGATCAGAGAAAAGCTAACTTTAAATATATTATTACCAAATATTAATAAGAAAAATATGATAAACTTATATATATTTAACAATATATACAATAAACTTATAGATTTTTTTACTATTTAAAAAATAATTATTGTTATTACATATTTACATATTAAGTAATAATTATTATTAATTTTTTCAATATATAATAATTACTTAAAAGATAGCAAAAATCAAGATTTAAGAATAAAGAGTATATAGATCATTTTATATAGTATTTTATATTATTTTAAAATTTTTATTTAAAATTAATATATGTTATTAATAAAACTTTTTTTTTATTTATATTGTTATCCTATATCTACTTCTTTTAAGATAGTAGGTAACTAGAGCGACCTTAGACAGTAAACACTTTTTGTAATCTCACTTGTTACTGTGTTATAACTAAGTCAGAAGGCGTTTTATTTTAGAAAACTTAACAAAGAAGATTTAAGTCAATTTG